TGAAATGCATGTCAACACAATTATGCAATGTAATACATCATGTATAATTCACGATCAATATTGATCCACACGAGCCATCCGCTAACCGTAATCCTCTCGGGAATTACCACAATCGCACAAGATTGTCCATATTCAACCATCTTGGCCCACATCTATCAAAACACCAAGACATCATTGAACCAGAACATGATTCGTTACTAAAACATATACACAATTGACTTCTCAAACATAATTAGATATAAAAATATTGGGAAAATAAATCCATTATCTATCTTATGTTATAACTCTGTTCATTAGCTTTCCAACGCTTCGAACGGGGATCAAAACGGACTTACGAATCCAAAGTTACGTCCAAAACAATTTCGATCGAAAACATGAACATCCGTGACGGACAGAAAGACGCTGTTACGCTCCGGAACTGATTTTCGCTCAATTATTCTTGCGAATTACTTACTCAAAGCACCCAAAATATCACTAAAACATTCCTAAGGTTATACGGCAATAACTGCACAACTTCTATGGTTTATTAGGCTCATCTGGCAACATTTGCAACACATAAAACATTATTTCCTGCAATTGCTCTGAGTACTTCAGAGTTACTCACATTTGAATATTCTTATTCCTATAAGGACAACATATCACAATTTTTCCTTCAATTACATCCTACGATATTTAAGTTACTTACTATCTAATATTTAACCCTTCAGGGTCAGACATATAACAATGTCAAGGTTCTGGCCACGAAAGTCCAATTTCCCATAAGTTTTTCCCACAAGGACATATTAATATTCAACGATACATATCATTTGGTCATTTGGTCATAACCTGAGATTCTTACGGTTACCTCCCTATTTCCCACAATTAACCTAAATCTCTAAACCTTAGGAAAACCTTAGAGCATCGTACTAATAATGATATAACACATTCATTTCTACATATTTGCCCAAATCCCTAAAAGTTCAGATTTTCAGATCTACTACTCACTAGTATTCTATGACAGCATCAAGGATTTCTCACACGAATTCCGTATTAATTCTGGTTTCGGATACACAAAACATCATACAAACAGTATTCAACAATAACAGAAAATTTAAGAACAAATCAAGTTACGAAAATTGGATTCAAGAATCCTCAAGAACACATAATTCCTATGAGAGAAAGGACCTCTCACTACCCTCTCATGTTAATTCACCCATATTGAAATTCATTCTCCCCCCTTACCTCGATTAATTGCTCAATCGTTGAAGAATCTTGAAGGATTGACAACTCTGGCCTCCTTCTCTTCCTCCTTGTTCTTCTTCTCACTTTTTCTCCCAAAATCTTTCTCTGACAGTTTATCGTGTTCTAATCTCTTTCCCCCAAAAAACTTCTCTATTTCCTTTAATCCCTTATTTCTTATTTTATTATTTAAATCCTATAATAATAATAATAATAATAATAATAATAATAATAATAATAATAATAATAATAATATTCTCCCACTAATAATAATATTCATGCTAATAGTAATAATATGAATAATAATAATATTCCACCAAATAATATTATTAATACGAATAATAATAATAATAATAATAATAATAATAATAATAATAATAACAATAACCTCATTAACATTTTTATTAATCACTATAATGCTCTCGATATCATAATTAACTTACTCCTTTATCTAGGTCCACAGTACCCCAACTAAGGTCACCTCTCTCCCTTACTCCTAACCTCATACCCTTAATTAAGGACACCACACAACTACACCTCACAGAAAATACCAAAGCGACTGAATAATTTAAATGGGGTGTTACAGGTATATCAGGAATTACCCCGACACAATGGCAACAAATTCTCGACGCTTTGAATATTTCCAAAAATAAAGATCGCCTCCACGGTAAGAATAACATTTATTTGATTATTGACATGGGAGCTTCACACCATGTGACAGGAAAGTTCTCTTGTATGATTAATGTAAAAAATATTAGAAAAACACCGGTGGGATTGCCGGATGGGAAAGATGTTGCAGCTATAAAGGAGGGCAGTGTGATTTTGGATAGCGGATTGCAGCTCAATAATGTTCTTTTTGTGCCTCAATTAAATTGCAACTTAATTTCTGTAACTCAACTAATCGATGACTACGATTGTATCGTTCAAATTACTAATGCATTGTGTGTAATATAGGCCCAGACGACGAGGACGTTGATTGGAGTGGGTGAACGGATCGATGGACTTTACTTTTTTTGGAGTGTTCCGAAGATGCATGCCTTGATGGTGGAAGGGGATTCAACATTGGATTTATGGCATAAACGGTTGGGTCATCCATCAGAAAATGTGTTAAGGTTCATTCCTCATGTAAGTCAGTTTGGTAGGAGCAAGAATAATAGACCTTGTGATGTTTGTCCTCGTGCCAAACAGCATAGGGATAGTTTCCATTAAGTGAGAATAATGCAACAAGTTTGTTTGAATTAGTTCATTGTGACTTATAGGGATCTTATCGAACTCGTTCGTCGTGTGGGGCACAATATTACTTGACAATTGTTGATGATTATTCGCGTGTTGTTTGGGTCTATTTGTTATGCAACAAAACTGAGATTGCGACTATGTTTTTGAATTTTGTAATATTGATATTACCCAGTCCACAATAAATAGAAAATCAAATTTCTCATATTTGAAAGAGAGAATAGAGGCATAGTTGCAGTGTGGTCCAGTGTCACAAATCATTTACAAAAATCTAGTTATTTTTTCCAACAACCAAGTCAAATTTTTTCAACTAAAAGTTCGAGAGATGAAGATGTTCAAAATATGTTTCGAACTCATAAACATTCTGGGTAAATGATATTGAGTTGAATATTTTACTATAACAAAATCAATTGTCTCAGATCGTTGATTCGTCACAAGTTTTTTGCGAAACTAACGACGACGAGCAAACCGGAGTCGATGTTATTGACAAGGACGAATAAGAAAATGAGATTTTGGTTGATAATATGGTGAACGATGACACTGTCGACCACAAGCAATAGTCGCTACCTTCGAGTCATGTGTATTGTACGCCTTAGCACATGAAAAACTTGAACTTGGATGCAAACGAGTGATCCGTATATACAAATTGGGGGAGCTTTAAAAGTGGAAGACAGGGTTTGCACAAAAGAATACTGTGTAAGAGCTATAAAAAAGATTCACATGAAAATCTCAACTGATTATACCGTCGATCGCACTAATAGGACGAGATACGTGATTCTGTGCTATAACATGCTCTGCATGTTTCTGCTAACAACATCTTATCAGAAGAGGAATGATTCTTAGGAAATAGATTCTATGAATGCACCACACTTTTGCATAATTACCAATTCGATGTAGGATCATCATAAACTAAGCTCTCAGTTAATATGAGGTGAAATATTTCTTGTAATTAGCAAGGATCCATCATTGAAGGCGAGTACAGTAATCTCGATATCATTACACGATACAGTTATACTTTCTCATATAGGAAGACATTGATGACTAAGACTAAGGCAGTTGAATGAGTATACGGAAATTGGGAGAATTCGTACAAAGAACTTCCAAAATATTTGGTGGCACTTAAGCATTATGCTTTGGGAATTGTTGCAATTTTGGAGACCCTGTCGTTATATACCTAGACAGAACTTGTGTTAGTGGAAATTGAATATTCCATCGACTCTTTTGGGCGTATGAACCACACATCAAAGGTTTTGTGTTCTAAAAACCAGTTATTCAAATTGATGGAACATGGTTGTATGGGAAATATAAAGGAACGCTACTCATGGTAGTGATACAAGATGACAACAACAAAATTTTTCAAATCGGTTTTGTTCTAGTGGAAGGGGATACTGTTGGCTGATGGATTGTCTTTCTCAAGAATCTCCGATTACATGTTGCTCCACAACCTAACTTATGCTTGATTTCAGACACCCATCCATCTATTGAGAGTGCATACAATAACCTTGAGATTAAATACAAGACGCTTTGGAAGAAATTTATGAATGCATGATATGCATTAACAGAACCATCGTTCAAACACTATTGTGAAGAGATCAGATTGACAAATGCAGATGTGTTAAGGTTAATTGATAATATTTTAGTAGAGAAGTGGACCGATACATTCGATAGTGGTCAACGATGGGGTCACATGAAAATAAATCTTGTGGAATCAATAAACCATATCTTCAACGACACTAGAAACCTACTCGTAACCACTTTGGTGAAAGCAAATCTTATTAGATATTACCACTTCATTTATTTCACCATAAGATTTGAACTCTTGATACATTTTCTTCGCCCCAACGTTCTCTTGAAATGACGTGAAAAAGAAGGAAGTCTTTGTTCTTTGTTCACCATGAAAGCAAATGCTTGTGCCATGAACATTGTCCCATCTTGAATTACTTTCCTTACTTTTGTTATATTTCTGGACGTATTACCACTCTCCCATCTCGTTATTTCTATTTCTATTACCAACTTTATGCTTTAGCAAATCCTTAACAAGACATGGTTGCTTGTATTGATGATAAAGATGTGTTTGGGTTTCCATCTACTTTCAACTGCTATGCAAAGGTGAGAGGAAGGAGCAGAAAAAGTTTGTTTCATTACAATTTTACGTTTTTTGTCTAAATTATCTTTATCAATTGCATACTTCAAATTTGCAGGAAAAAATGAAAAACAAAAGCTCTTTTATGTTTTTTTGTTGGGAGCATAAGAAAAACTAAAAGCATATCTTCCACTTATGGGATGTGTATAAGAATTCACAATCACTACTTTTACTAGAACATTGTTACTATTAATAGCTAAAATAATTGTATCAATTGAACTCAGATGATTATTTTAGATTCATCAAAAATCAATATTGACCGAATTTATATATAGTGCCAGTGTGGGATTAGTAACCCAAGAAAAAAAAAAGTAAACTAGAACGGGCTTAATTGAAATCCTAGCCCAACCCAATCCAACCGAAGACATTGATAGTGTTAGGGCAAACCGAGGAAGAAGAAAAAAAAATGGCGAGTGAGAAGAACAAGGTAAAGCGAAAAGCAAGAGATGAAAACGACGACGATAGAACCAAAAAGAAAAACAAAACGACGGAACCAAAACCAAACGTGGAGCCACTTCGTTTCTTCCTGGATCATTTTCAAGCCGCCAACGGTTTACACCTCTCTTCCATCGAACTCGAATCCCTGAAAGATACCGCCATTTTGAAGCTATCGAATTCCCAAACTACGGACACTGATTTAGATGTGAAATTCATGGCGAGTGATGTTAAAGCTTCGTTCGGTGATTCGTGGAGAAAGGTTCTCTGTGAAAGTGAAGTTGTGGAAGGAAAAATCGCTGCTGGTAGTCCTTCTGTTCTTGTTGTCTCTTACTCTGCTTTGAGATCTATTCACCTTTTGAAAGGGTTTCGATCCGTTACGAAACAGTGTAGCTCCGTGAAGTTGTTTTCTAAGCATATCAAACTTGAAGAACAGGTTAATTTCTTCACTGATTCATATTTCTTATGCTTGTTTCAAATATTAGGTTATTAACTATCATTATAATGTGTATATGTCATTTTTGTATCCATAAAGTTTGAGTAGTGGTTGCGGAAATTTTATTTTGAATGAAGTGATTCAGTAAAATTGATTTTGATTGAGTGTGTGTTTGGTTACGCGATGACGGGAATTGATTCTGAGTTAATTCATTTAGAAGAATTGATTCTGAGGGAATTTGTTTAGAAGAATTGATTTTGGTTAAAATAGAACAGAATGTATATAGATATATGTTTAGATAAATATCACGTTTAAACTCAACTATAAATTCTAGCTTTAAGTGGAATCAATTCTACTTTAGAAGGACCAAACACTTCAAAATCAATTTAACAACTATAGAATTGCTTTTAACTCCTCCTAAAGCTAAACCATACATACACATAATGGATTTAGGAAAATTGATTAAGTTAAAATAATTTATGTTTGGATACTACATTTAAAATTGCTTCTATCTCTTCTAAAGTGGAAACCAAACATACACTAATACTTTTTTAGCTTGTACTCCAAGGGAGAAAGACATTGACTCTTCATTAGCTGTTAGAAGTGATAGATGTTTTAATTCATTGTAGTGCATTTTTTCTCATTTGATCTGATTTCTATGCTTTGCGTTGATTCGCATGATGTACTAGCATTGATTTGTTGTATATGTTACACATTGATTTGGGCTTATAATCTTATGCAGATTTCTTTGTTGAAAAACCGTGTTAACATTGCTAGCGGCACACCAAGCAGGTTGGTCATCTAATATCCTTTCCTCAAGTAAAATTTTGTTTTCTCACCCACCAACCATGAGATCAAATATTTCAGTTTTTGTTTTTTGGTGATTAGATTATAGTTTTATTCTTATAACATTACTCTGAATCAAATGCAGGATTAAGAAGCTCATTGACAATGAAGCCTTGGGCCTTTCAAGGTTAAAAGTACTTGTGCTTGATATTCATCCTGATGTAAAGGGCTTTTCCTTGTTTACCCTTCCACAAGTCAGGTATATATACTGGTTTCATTTCTCTTCTTACTAAGAATCTCATGAATTACATTGAATTTACCACCATTTTTGTGAAGCTAACCTTATTGATGTTACACAATATAACTTTCTGGCAGTGATGAATTTTGGGACTTGTTCAAGAATTATTTTTATCAACCGATGATCCAGGGTGATCTGCGCATTTGTCTCTATGGTCCATGTAAGCCGGCTGCTGGTTTAAAAGGCAAAAAAGGAGTTCATGTTCCCGATGAATAATGTATGATGTCAATCGTTAATCATTTTTGTCTTGTTTTATATGTGGTCTGCTTAAGTGTGTGGTTGTTAGATCACGTTGAATGTGAAACAAAACAGAGGTAACGACAAAACGGGTCGTGGTGTTGTTAACACTTAACTAGACTTCTTTATGTGATTTTCAATAGAGTCCTAGTTATATCACCACACCAAAAGACAAGTACACTTACCAGTTCTTACAAACTTTTTTCCAATTTAGTATTCTTTTATAAGGATGCCATTTTTGTGCACAAGTGAGTTAGGTGATGTATCTTTAATTTGTTGTTAGATTGAACACTTCTACTGCTTCTAATAGTGGAGACTATTAATATTGTATATTTTTCTTTTCAAATTTTCAATTGCTGACACACTTTACATTCAATTGCTGACACACTTTACATTCAATTGCATAACATTTGATGTCTGGTTTTTTCATAAAGATATATTTTACAAATTTTCAACTGCTGGCCTACTTTACATTCTAATAGTAGAAACTAGAATTGCTCTAGATTCCTCTAGATTCCTCTAGATTTCGCATAAAAAAACCCTCCAACCAATTCTATCATAAAAAATCAATTTAATTATTTTTAGTACTCTTGAGCTGAAAAAACAGATGTAAACATTTTGTTTTGGATTCTCACTTTTTTTTTTTGAAATTAATAAAAGTAAGGGTCTAATCTAAGAGGTAAATAAAATCCTAAGGTAATTAGCGATTGTGGTGATTTTTGTCAAATGATATGTAATGGAGCATGTATTGAACATGTTGGGTTGTGGACTGTTATTAATTTTTATGTTATGTTTTGAACCTCTGGTGTCATGCATTTTGGAAGAGGGAGAGGGAAACCGTTTATTAAGAATCTTAATAAACTGTTTTTATTAGATTTAAGATCATGGATGAATTTAACTAGTTTTTTTATTAGATTTAATCATGCACGTTACAATTTCTTCGAATGTCTTGGGACAAAGAGTTTTAACAAATGACACCAAGAAATCTAACTAGTATAGCCTCTAACTCAACCGGTCCATTGGAAGAATAGTGACCGAAAACATTATTTTCTTAGTTGTTGGTAAACAAAACATGTCAATTTGAGTTTATTTTTAGTTTTTCAGTTTATTTTAATTAAAAAAATTCGTTTGATAAATGTTTCTTAGATTTTACTTTATAACGTATTAACTGGTTTTTAATTTATTTATTTTAAAAGTTATTTGAGTTTGTAATTTTTAGCTTATGATTTTTTATTTTAATTATACTTTTATTATTTCAATAATATATAACAAATTTACTATTAAAAAAATTAATTTTAAAAAATTAAACTTATAGAAATTTTGAAGAATGCTATAACAAATTTTTATTATTTTTCTCTACTTTATTAAACATTTTTATTTATTAAATAATTAATTTAAAAATAGTGTTGAAGTTAGTGAAACATTAGAAAATTCACAATCTTTTTACAATTTTATTGTAAAATATTAGACAATAAACTTATTTTTGTTATTATTTTAGATTAATATAAAAAAGCTTAAAATTATAATGTTATTATTTCACTTATTTTATTAAATTTCATTATAAAATTAAAAAAGAATTATATTTTACGAAAGAATGAGTCAACCTGACAAAAATTATAGTTATTAAAATTACTTTTATTTTTATATCTTCATAAATGACTTTTATGAAGTATCTTGCTTTATGTATGATTTGCTGGTTCTTTTATGTATTGAATTCGGTTCTCAATATATTCATATTATAACAAATCTCATAAAAATTTATATATTTTGATGACATCTTCAATTTTATATATATATATATATATATATATATATATATATATATATATATATATATATATATATATATATATATATATATATATATATATATATATATATATATATATATATATATATATATATATATATATATATATATATATATATATATATATATATATATATATATATATATATATATATATATATATATATATATATATATATATATATATATATATATATATATATATATATATATATATATATATATATATATATATATATATATATATATATATATATAAATTATTTTTCATGTCATTATTAATATATTTACTTTTATCGAATAAAAATTAATTTAATAATATAATATAATAAGATAATGAAATCATTAACTTCTTAATTAAAAATGTCTTTTTAGGTTATTTTGTAATTATTAATTAGTGTAACAACTAATTTATCAAACACTCAAATTAACTTATTAGGAGGGGTGAGAATATGTCAGACTAATTAAGAGCATCTTTAGTGGGAGTAAACTAAATAGGTAAACTAAGATACTTTTTGTGGGTCCAAAGTGATTTGTAGGATTTAAAAAATTTAAAGTTGATTTGAGTAGTTTTTACTTTAACGGTGGTTGTCTATAAGAAACCAAAACTTGACCCCACATGGTATTAAATGGTTAATAAAAATCTATTATTTATGTTAAATAATTAATAAAAATCTATTATTTATGTTAAATAATGAGTTAGAGTACGTTGCTTGTGTAGAGCACGTAAACTAGTTTTAGAGCATCCCATATGCCATGTCAGCACTACTATAATGCAAATTCCTTATTACTAAAGTAAGCTATAAAGAATTTTGGTTTAACAACCCTGCACTAAAGTTGCTCTAACAGGAGCATACAGTCTAACTTACATAAGTCTAGGTCAGGCGATAAAATGACATAGATTTTTTGATAAGCCTATTTAGCTAAAGAGGTTAGGCCACAAACCATAAAATTTTTTTTTTAAGCATATCAGGTTGGCCTGTTTAAAAAAAAAAACTCAATAGATTTATTTTTATTATATTGTATTTTGTAAACAATGTCATAAGTTGTTATAAGTTTTTTTTATAAATTTTCTCTAACAAATAATATCATCAAACTTATGCTAATAGGTATATTTGAATGAGATAATGAAAACAAGTATTTAGTCTCATTGATCTTTTAATTTATTAATCTATTTAATATTAATTGAATTTCTTATTTATAAATGTTTAAAAGAAGTGGCTTTTTAAACAGGGTAGTAGGTCAATCAGGTCTTCGAAAAGACAATGCTCAGGCATAAAAATAAGTCTATCATAGACTACATATCAGATTTAAGCTTTGAATTTTTAAGTCAGATTCAAGTTGGACAAAACTAAATTCGGTTCAACCTATTCTCACCCTTAACTACCCGTTATCAGCTATAAACTATCAACTACCGATTACTAGGTAAACATTTTTTTGTATCTTCATATCTAAAATGACCATTTAGTTGATTCAGTTGATCATTCAAACCACACATTGGTATTGTTCTATAACAATTTGAATTTCATCTTGTTGCAATAGATCTGCAATTTGGTTATAATTCCTTTCCATTGGGTAGGACTTTATTTGATGTTGTGAATGAAAATAAACCAAAACACATGTATTTGTACACTTCACAAAAAATTTCGATGTGTTAAATATCACTAAAAAAAATTCTCGTCGTGAATTAGTTTTGATTCTAGAGTTTGAATATGTAATTATCTATTTTACAGATTCAAAAACTATAATTTGAGCTGAAGTTGACACACCAATCCATAGGATTTTGAACAAGTTCTTATTTCGAATGTGTTTGGATTCTATGATTCAAATGTGTAATTAACATATTTCACCCATTCAAATTCTATAAGTTGGACCAGTATTTTATCAAAATATCACAATTTAACTAATTCACCAAAAACAAATTTTGAATTCTAAAATCCAAACAAAATATTTTTAAAACTTTGAACGCACAATTTACAAAGAACTTTTACAAATTTTTGTATGGGGTAATAATTCTTGATCACCCGTTCATATTTGAAAGAGGTTTTTTTTTTTTTTTTTTTTTTTTAAATTTTAGAATTCACTTTATTATTTATTATGAACTTCAGATAAATATACACTCAACAAAAAAAAGCTGTATTATTAATGCAATTTAAATATGTGGCCAATTACATTTAAAAAATGTGCAACAATTCATTAAGCATCTACTGAATACAACTATTAATTGATGATTAATATGTAGGTTTTATCATAACACTTGAAATCCGTTGTATAAGAGCATTTGAACTTAACTTATGTGGTTAATTTGTAGTATATTTAAATATTTAAAAACCATGGTTAATATTTAATTGTGTTAGGTGGCCGATTAATGAATTATGTTTTTTAATCATCCACTATATCTCAGAAAAATTCATCCATTTAAAAATAAAGTTTTAACATTTTCTTATAGTAAACACATAAGAACTTAGTTCAATTATTTATTTAAACAGACCTTAATCAGAACTGGTGGCATCTTCCAATGACCATAGACCTCAGTAGAGATTTATCTGAAACTGGATATATATCTTTAACATATTATATGAATATATCCATTGTGTATCTAACTATATCATATTATTCTGTAGTCTATTTTATATTTATACTATCAATAATCACTACTTTTAATGGAAAATATGAAGGGGGAAATCCCTTGGTGATAGGTAGCTAATTCAATGATGAACTGATTGCCTCATCCACTTTGTAGCTGACCACTTTTCCCCTGAGAGTACTGGACATCCTCCATGAACACTTTCTGGATCTGACTTTCCATCCAGTCCCTGAGAATACCAATCACAGATATATATTCTAGAGCTTTTAAGAAAATTACTGCTCATATTTTATAATCCCCATGAATGATCTTTTTAAAAGCCACAAAGTTATACTAACCATACTCCAGAAAAGCACCGCGTCTCCTTTAGTTGGTTTCACACATATCCCTTTCGACAATTTTCCACCGCAGCTACATTCGCCTGAACCAGCCTGAAACGCATTGCATATTATCAACAGCAGTCTTGAGTATAGTATTATCACACCACATGGTATATAAGATCCATGCACAATTGTGGCATCAGTTTGCCACTAATATATGCTTCAGATTAAGGCTATTCATATGCTTCAAATCAACGTCTACGGCATCTACCTAAACATGCTAAAATGATAGTTCAGAAAATGAGAAGCTTACCATTGGGAAATGTGTTTCTCCTCCCTCAACATTGTCACCTAAATACATAAGCATTGTAGCTATTCGCTGCCCACCACGCTTCAAGTTGAACTGTCTCCAAAAAGAAAGGTACGGAGAGGTGAGGATGATTTATTGAAGTCAATTAAGGTGATTTTCACGCTTACTATAAATCTATAATAATGAATATATCAAAGACAGGAATAAAACTCACGGTATCAGCAAAATAGTCATGATGGGGCCTGTAAAACTGATTCTTCTCATACCTGTGCTGCGGCAGATGTTAGATTGATACTCGCAAAACACATCGGTTCATATCTTATTAAAACAATAAGTCATATCCTCACCTTAGGACTTGCATAAGCTCTCCATTTTCAACTGGTACTTGAGAATAGACGGAAATTCTTTTTTCAATTGCCTAGTTGAGAAGTGGAACATTTTTTTATCAGACTGTACAACTAGTAATCAATAAAATATTAATCAGATGAATGCAGAAATCAAATTGTTCTCTTCCTGATTGTGACGCAGTCACACAATAGGTATCAAATCGAAAGGACCATAGGTGTGGCGCAGTGTTTCAAAAAATTAAACTAGTTACCATTAACCACCCAAAAGGTGTTCCTTAGTGTGTATCAGACCATAAAAATTAAAAACTGTCCAATATCGCACAAACTAGCTGGTGTAATCCATATTTTTAACCCTCATTTGATAACAAGACAATGAGGTAAGAGTTAGAGGTAAAGTAGACTTGATAACTTACTTGTATCATGGGATATTTTCTCTCATCACCATTCAAAAACATACCAGAGCTTGTTCTGACATCACTCTGGACTCCCTGTGGAAGATAGAAATTTCATCATGGTTTGTGAAGAAATGCATGTCCAGAGAAGTTAATGATCCCCACATACTAATACAATACTACAAGATAAAAGTACTGATTCTGATAGGCTAAAAATTGTCCAAATAACCTCAAGACTAAAACTGTGGTTACACATAACATCTACTTTTGCCCGGTAACTTTAAAAAAAACTTTAGTTTTTCAGCAAGTTTAACTCATTAATTTTCCCCTCTTCATAATTTCAAAGTAAAAAGCACTGTTGCTTAACAATGGTCATACACATAATCACTTCGTACTAGAGTAGTGACACAATTATATGTGTACATATGTATGAGCTTATTTGGCCGTGTTGTTGAATTAACAAAATCTTCATTTAATCTTGAAAAATGGCATTTGTTTTAATTCTTCACAAGGTGTTTTGTTAAATTCCTGAAGTGTTTCTATATGGCAATAGAGAAACAAATCTTAATTTAGGTGAAGATTCTAGAACGTATGATAAATACGTCTTTGTTTTAGGTACCTTGGGTCCACCAAGGGAGATGTTAACCATAGGATTCAAGTACAGTGGAAGAATGCTTTGGATGTGATCTGAAACATAAATGAACCACTCAGAATTCAAGGAAAACTTTAGTGCACTACTCTAAGATATGTATTGTTGAATAGGACTAGATGTTGGGCTCTAGAAAACTTTTAGAATTTGGGCTTTAGGACTAACACAACCACTAAAGCTACCTCAGCGGTGAAGATTGCTCAAGCATTATAGTTACAAGGGCTACTTAGGACATATCATTAGTCGACATGGGATTTCAACACACCTCACACGTCCATTATTAGACATCTAGAGTGCGGACAATCACAGGTGGAATAACAGGAATCTCAACATAACCCATCGTGTTCAGGATTTCAACACACCTATAACTTATTATACACGTGCATCTAATATACATCCTTGATTTGATAATACTCACTATATACTCTAAAGTGAGTTGTTTACATTAGAGGAGTCCGGTCCCTTAACTAATTCCAAGTTCCTATTAATAAAAAATCAAGAGAACAGAGACTGTAAACTGTAAGACAGAAACTCAAACCAGAGCTCGTGGGGGCTTAAATAAGGAGTCTGAACGCCCAAAACAGATTGGGAGGTGACAAAGATTTGAGAGAACCGATTAAGATAAAGGAAACAACAATGGTAAGCACTTACAGGAGAAGCACAATGAATGCGAAGTCAAAAGAGAAGAAAGCGAAAACAAAGTAGAATATCAACAACAGAGAAATAGGGCATGCAAAATAGTCACCCGAAAAACACTAGCATAGCATTTTTCTCTTAAAAAAGAAGGAAGGAATCCCATCACTCCTTAAAATCAGTCTACAACAATCAAATAACATCATCACATAGGTAAAAGAGGGTTTTTAGCGACCCTAGCATTTGTGCAGGTGAAGTGCCAAGTTTCTGAGGTACTCCTGTGAATAGCGTTTGTGACGGTTTTGACCCAAAATGCAGCGTGGCAGATAGAAGAAATTGCAACCATAGGCTCCTTCTGCATTATCATGTTATAATGTCCTATTGAGTATTGACAGCTGTGGTTTGGGCATGTGTGAGAAAACATAGAATTGAGGAGTGTGTGATACAATTAAACTATACTCCTACACTGTAAACAAGTAACAACACTCTCGTCATATAATAAGATATAGATATACTTACATCCATTCACGGTAACAATGTTTTTCGTTTTAGATCTCTGGCTTTTTAGCTTATACAGGCTTCAAAATCTCCAATTATGAAGTATATTTATCGAGGGAGTTGAAAAACTAGTCTAATATAGGGATAGTCCATGAACAAGATCGAGCAACTATTTCAAAGTAAATCTTCACTATGTTTGGATCTGGAGATTTAAGATGATGAGAGTGAAACAGAGGAAAGAGAGAAAAGGAAATTCTATTTCTATGAAATGAATGGTATTCTCATTTTGAATATGACCATTTCTAAGCTAAGACTTAAAGGGTACAAGAGTTAGTTGCCGAAATAACTGTCAAAGAAACTGTTACAGATGTCCCCTACTGTAGAACAACTAAGGCTATATCATACAATACAAAAAAGTACTGCAGTAACAGTACTAAACTGAAACTAAATATATTACGGAACTCAAGTATATACCCAAACACTCTTAAAATATTCGATTCAGCTCTTCCTTTATTAGAGGTTAGGTATTATTAAGTAAATTTGCCATTCATCTCTTCTCCTTGTCCTACATAATGCAGTTTTTTCGTAAGCACGGTCCTCCGGTATTGGACTAAGCATTTAATAGTTTCCAACCTAGTTATTCATAAAAGAGAAGGAAGGAAAAAAGAAATACTAAGTCATAAAGCAAATGGCAACAATAAAGAAAGTTCAGTTCAATTATCAATCTGCTTTCCATACATATACACTTTGTATTTCTTCCTAATAGGCATTTAGTAATTTATTCGTACATGCTCGAATTTGAAATTCTTTAGGTGAGTTAGACATTAGCAAATGAAACTTAAACCCATCCAGAACATCTATTGATGATTATGACCACTCAAAATGAAATTTATAAAGAAAGTAACACTATGTACCTTTCCAGTCTTTACATCCACCACTGTTGAAATTTTCAGACGAGGGAGGGCCACTGCCCTAAGATAATCACATTCCTGTAAATATACAGATATAATACGCATATGCAAAACATTTTTATTGGCCACTGAACATTTTTAAAGTACTGCTAATTGCCAGAGATTAGTATGTTATTCTCTTATTGCAGCCGATAGGAAGGTCTTGTACGACGAACAAGAAAATCATGCTTCACAGCCAACAACCTAACACCTCTTGAGGAACTTTCAACCCTCAAATAGATGTTAGAATATGAGTAAACCCCCAACTTAGTCATCCAAAGATAAGGGCATCTCTATATTATTCCAAAAATTTTGTTACCAAATTACCCCTCCTAATTAATTTTTCTAATATACACATTTTTTTTACCAAATTCGTTCTTACAGAGGACTAAAGTGGGGATACAAAAGGAATAATTTGGTGACAGTTTAGCATCTTTGAGGACTTTAGTGAAAATTCCTTGAAGAGCTAGGGTGTGTTTGGAAGCATATTTAGAAGTAACTCGGGCATATATTATGACAGAAATACTTGTGCAAGGGTTTGGGAGAGCTTGTGAAAATAAGTTATGACATGCCCATAAGTTGTTTTTATATGATTTCAATAAGCTTATCCGAATAGCTTATGAAAAACAACTTACAACTTACATAAAAACAGTTAAATCACATTCTCGTTTTAATTATATAAATAGTTTATACATAAGCGCTACGTGACAATCAATTATTCAATAAACACTTAATCAAATTGTTTGTTCAAACAAACCCCAATAATTTTTCACAGTTTCACTTTAATCTTTAAGTGATTGGAGTTTGATGACAAAAAATTTTAGAGGATTAATGTTGACTCTACATGAATAAATGAGCATCAGAAACATAATTTTAATCATGAAAACAGCACTCAGAAGAAAGAACAAACCTCTGAACTCAAGAAGTTATGCAGTAAGATAATTCGTGGAGACCAGCTAAGCACCTCAGGTTTGATCTGTATCAAGGATTGAGGATCAAAGAGGAATAATCATCAAAAGTCAAAACATGCAAATCAACTCTTTTCTCCCACACATGAGAAGGATTTAAAGTAGGAAACTATTTTTCATTGAGAAAAGAGAATAAGCCAGTTAAAAGTTCAGCAACAGAGACAATGGTTAAATTAATGAATCCAGTGTAAGCTGGAATACACAGAATAACATCAAGGGTTTCAAGCATAAATATTAAGATGATCCTGATATGCAAGTATGCACAGGAAAGAAATCAAATGTCATCATGACATAATTATTATACACACGGAGTATAGTCAAGTATTTTTCAACCATATACATTTAATTGTTCACCAAAGAAAACTTTGACCTATTCTATTTTTTTCTGATGAAGCATTCATATTTTCATGTTTTTCTGCACACTAAATGAGTAGGCAATGCTATTTTATTCAATCTATTTTACTTGAAGGTCGTTCATTCTGCCAAAGAGAGATGAAAAATGTTGAAAATATTAAAGTTTAGCAGATGAGAGGGGTACAGCATACATATCCAAGGCGTAATATTTCTGCTTCCTTGTCATTATTCCAATACGGAATGCCTGAAAAGTATAAGAAATGCTCAATACTTGGAAAAGGGAAAATTCATTATTTTTATCAAAAAAAACTAAAAAATAAATAAAATAATACAATATCAATATGGCACAACAACTGAAAGTATGAGATTAGAACAAAATTTGATATGGTTTATGGAATTTGATTTGTTTTAGGAAAAACATTGCACATGGTAGAAAGCATGTAGAACTACACACGTATCTTGCCTGTGATAAAGACTTTAGTAGTTATGGGAATAATTCTAGGAGGTATCTACATCACACATTAAACCGACGAAATCAATATAGCCAATATACTAAGCATAAAGGTTGTATATAAAACAATAGAAGTATACTTTGTGAAATTTCATAAAAGCAGTAACACTTGCACTCTATATAAAACTAAAACAATACAAACCTCCAGGCAACCGAAGGTAATCTTTTCTCTCTAATCCACGTAATCTTCTAAACGGTTGAGCCTCTGTACCTAAATGAACCAGTTAGAATACAGGGCATACAGGTAAAAATATATTCAACCACCACAAATTCCCAATTTGGTTTCACCTTGCTAAACAAGTAAAAGAGAAAAGCAGAAAAGTGTTGTTCAAACAAAACGGGCAATGGTGAGTAAAACTTTATACCATATGAGTCTTCCAGTTTTCGTATAAATGCCAATTGAGAGAGAGCACCTGCAATTCCAAATAATTAGGGATTAGGTTAACTAAAGTGAGATCTGGTATGAATATGAAGAAGAAATAGCAGAATCGAATGAGCATTGTGAAGTTAGAGAAAATCACCGATGATCATTCCGATAGTGACGAATGTGAGAAGACCGAAAACGATCTTATTCGCCGGCGGCATGGTGAGTCAATTCGTCAACGTCAAATTCAAACTATGCAGCGTTTTGCGTTTGCGTCTTCCTTCATTTCTTTCCATCCATATTAAATGTCACTTTTCCTTCTTTATACTATTAATCTCATCATTTTCTTACCATTTCAATCCATAACACCTCTTCATTTCTTTTCTATAATTCTTAAATACAAAAAGATTATATTAAATGGATCAAAAATATATATAATATTATAACTCTCATAAATTAAATATATATAATATTCTTAACAATAATTATTTATTTTTTAATTCAGTATTTTCTTAAAAAATATATTTTAGTTTCTTTTTAAATATTCGACTTTTCTATTTATTTCTTAATCAATATCTCAAAAATATTAGTTAACATTTCTCATATTAAAATTTTAATATTTAAACAGTGTTTTCCTCACTCTAAATGGTGTGCTTTTGTTTCTTAAAATAAAATCAAAAATATTTAATATTCGAGAATTATTTTCAAAAAAATAAATAATAATTTAAGAATTAAAAACAAAAACTATTTAAACCAAATTTTAATATAAAAGAGAGATGGTATTACTTATCAATTTATGTAACCAATTTATATGGATCATGTATAGTATTATTTATTATATTATTATTTTAATTTTCATAAATATTTGCTATTCTAATATAAAATAATATATCCCTCAATAATTATATAAGTTAAAGTAATTATAGTAAAATCTGTTTAAAATCTTTCTCTAATCATGTTAAAATATTCTAATAGTGATCATTTTCCTTATATATATATTGAGCGGTACATCCAACAATATTTGATAGTTGGAACAAAAAAGTTTATAAAATTATACAAATAATAAGTTTATAAAATTATACAAATAACTGATCTTTTTGTTTATATTTATTTAACACCATCACACTTTGTAAAGAGATCTTAAAGAAATATAAATACTTTGACGGTAAACCTGCATACACACCATATGATTCAAGTGTGAAACTATTTAAAAATACTAGTGAGCGTGTCAGAAATACAGAATATACGAGCATCATTGGTAGTTTTAGGTGTGTCATTAATTGTACTGGACCAGATATTAAATATATCGTAGGATTGTTCTGCAGGTTTTTGAGTAGACAAAGTAATGAGCAGTGAGTCATGAGGTACCTTAAAAGGACCATGGATATCAACATATATTATCAGAAATTTTTTGTTGTACTAAAATGGTACAGTGATGCAAATTTGAACACCTTACTGAATATATATTTAGTATAGTTGGGGGAGTTGTATCTTGAAAATTAAAGAAATAGACTATCTTGTCTTAGTCTACACTGGAGTCCGAGATGATAGCACTAGTCAAAGCTAGTGAAAGAGCAAGTTGGTTAAGATGCTTGCTAGTAGAGATCTCTGTGGGAAAAACCTATGTCAATTGTGTTGATCCACTGCAATAGTAACACGGCTATTGCAAAACTTGAGAACCGTTAGTATAACGGTAAGTGACGCCAATTAAGGAAGAAGTACGACACTGTTAGAAACTGTATCTCTAAGGAGTTGTAAGAGTGGATCATGTACATAATGATAAAAAAAACTTAGCAGATCCTTTGACGAAAGGATTAGCTAGAGAGAAAATTCATAATACATCAAAGAATATGAGACTAATGCATATAGAGAAATGAGTTGCTCATAATGGTAACCCGATCTAAATGACTGGAGATCCCAAGAAATACGTTCAATGGGTAATAACAAGTTGTGAGTAATATGATATGATCATGCAAGTGAAGCATGAATCTTGAAGTAATATGAGGATGAGATGATAGAAGCTCTTAATGAGATTTATACTCTGTATGAAGGAGTACCTAGACTACAAGAGTACTCTTTATAGACTCACATTTATGATTGTGGAACTTAGTTCAGTTCTTATAGAATTTCAAGGCAATTCCCTAGAGCCTTCACTAAAGCGGAATACACGTGCGGGGTCATTAAAGCACAAAACTATTATAATACACCTTAAGAAAAGGTTGTGTGCGTGTTTGATGGTTGAGATAGAGTTCAAGACAATTGTGTCACTCTTGTTGAATCAGAATCCTACTTGCTATCCAAAGGTACAAGTAGCAGACACGTTTGTTTATGCACAATCTTATAAACATTTAATGTTACTTGTGAAACACTTTTTTAAATTAAAGTGAGGGATTGTTGGAACGTTTATGTCAATATTCTAATATAGGGAGATGAATTTGAAAAAGTTTCTTAAGTCAAGTCTCACATTGTAGGTTAGTTGAAAAAACTCTTTAGTTTCACATTGTTTAGGTGAGATATATTTCCTTACTCACTTCATTATATAAGGAAATTTTATATTTCATTCCAAAACACATCAAAAACTTATTTTAAGTTTTTCTTCATGGCTCTCATAACTCTACGTCTTTCGAATTGTTGAAGCGTCAACTTCTCCCCCTTTCTTTCTACTCGTTGATTTTTCTGAGTATTTTCTTGAATTCTCTTTAAAAATTATGTTAATTTCTCTTCATTTGAATTCAAAAATTACAAATCTTAATTTTCTGGATTCTCTTTGGAGAATAATTCGAACTTCTCTTTATTTGAGAAATCATTTTGAGTGGTCAAATGATCATTATTGAATTCTCTTTAAAAAATTATTAGAATTTCTCTTAGTTTGAGAAATTAGTATGACTGGTCGTTATATCAGAAACTAACATTCAACCATATCTGTTAGACTGATTATCTACCGTGCAAGTAGTAATCGTATAATATAAAAATGAATTGTTTTATTCTGAAAATAACGCAATAGTTCGACTGCTTTGTATAATTTTATCCAGTGCTGCGGAACATCTTAAATAAAATGACCTAATCAAAACTCATTAGACATCAAATTTATTAATATAATATCTTTTTATCTAATTAATCATCATATCAATTTGTATGTCCCTTAAGTAGTGATTCTACGTATTGTGCTATCACACATGATGATAATTTACTGTGATCGCCATTGCATTCCCGCAACCAAGCATCTTTGGTTATCTATTCTTCTATTTCTTTAACCAACATTTTTTTAGTTAACAAATGAAAAATAAATTTTTAATTTTTTAAATCATGCAATTAAAATCAAACGGTTTATAATATTTCGACTTCATAAAGAACTGACTACCCTGGATTCATTTTCTACATGACTTAAATTGGAGGTAGTTGTTTTGTTTCCCATCTTCAAATTAATTAAATGATGGTCTTTTTATATATTATTCATGTACATCACTAATAATTTAAATTTTTATTATAAATTAGTAAGATATTCGTGTGGATGCACTGATAAATTTATTTAACAAAGCATAAAATATATTTAAATATTATATAAATTTAAAATGAAAAAAAAGAATTTGAAAAAACAATGAAATTTTTTACATTTTAAAATAAAAAATTCATCTCTCAATTAAAGATAATTGTTGGTTAAAATAAAATAAATATTATTTTTATAGTGACCCGTAAAATAAAAAATCAGTAGTATGCATCATTACTGAGTGATATTCAATTTGATACAATATAAAATATTTTTAGTGTCAATTTATAATGTGTTATTTAATTGTAAAATAAAAAATGATCATATAAATTTAATTATATTAAATAATCATATAAAAAAGATACTCATGAGATGAACAAAGAAAAAATAATTCACATTTGAAAATAAAATTTTTGTCGACAATTGTTGATTAAAATAAAATAAATATTATCTTGATAGGGGCACCTAAAATGAAAAGTTGTGTGCACTGTTATTAAATGTAATCCAATTTGATACAATATAAATTATATTTAGATACACATGTCAATTTTAAATAAGTTACTTAATTATAAAATAAACAATAATCATATAAATTGTGAATATTTTTTATATATAATAATTATAAAATAATTATATTTTTATTTTAGATAAATTGTGTTAAAAAAATTCTATATTTTTTCGTCTTCTTCTTCATTAAATTAAAAAAAATTCAAATTTTATTATTTATACTTAAAAAATAAAATAGGAAAAAAGAAAATGGAGAGAAATTTTTTAAATGAAAGTATGAGAAAAAGAAATCTAGGAAAATTTAAAATCTAAATTAAGAGAATAAAAGAAAGAGTGGAAAAGTAAAAAATAAAAAGTGAAAAATGAATGAGGGGTCAAATAGAAGTATATTCAATTTTTTAGTATTTATTAATTATAAATATGCCCTTTTTGCTAGTATAATTTTTTAAACAGTAAAAAATATACTAGGAAGTTTACTGATAGTTTATTTTAATGAGTAGATTGATAATTATAAATTAATTAATTTTTTAAAATAAATTTTATGTTTTAAAAATTCAATATTTTTTGTGTTATTTTTATTAGATTAAAAAAAATCAAACTTTGTTATTTATACTTAAAAATAGAAAATAGAAAAAGGAAAATGGAGAGAGAAAAAATTAAAATGAAAGTGTGGGAAAAAATGTGAGAGAAATTTAAAATTTTAATTAAGAGAAGAAAATAAAGAGTAAAAAAGTTAAAAATAAAAAGTGGGGAATGAATGAGGTGACAAAATGAGATAAAAGAAGAGTGAGAAGTTTAAAGTAAAAAGTGATAAATGAATGATGTGGCAAAAGGTAGATTCAATTTTTTAAGCATTGGTTAATTATAAATATGCTCTTTTGTTAGTATAATTTTTTAAAAAGTAAATGATATATTATGACATTTGGTGATAATTTATTTTAATGAAAAAAGTAAATGATATATTATGAAGTTTGGTGATAATTTATTTTAATAAAAAAAATAAAGGATATATTAAGAAGTTTGGTGATAATTTATTTTAATAAATAAATAGTTGATTGATAGAATTATACACATTATTATTTAAGAGAGAGACAAGAAAGGGAAAGATGTGGTTAGTGTAAAGGGTGATTATAGGCAAAAAAAAAAAAAAAAAAAAAATTGTTTTGGAGTATTGAAAAATGAATTATAACTTTCTCATTGATTATTGAAATGTACAAGCACTTGTTA